AAGGGTGGGGGACGGGGACTCGCGCCCGGGGCCGGCGCCTCCCCGCACTTCCCAGACAAAGGAGCTTCGGAGGAGGCCGGAGGCCGGGAGGGGCAGGCTATTGCCCACCCGCCCCGTGTCCCACGGTGGGGCACGTCGCATCTTGGGACCCCCCCCCCAAGTGGAAGTCCCCACCCGGGGATCGAGCAGGCTGTGTGGTTCTGACCAGGGACGCGACTCCGTGTGGGTTTCTTGGAGGCCCAGCGCCGGCTTCGCCACGGGAGGGAACACACCTGACATCCTTGCCCGGGCCCCCGGAGAGTCTGGGCCTGGAGAGCTCAGTACCCCCGGGAGGCCTGGGGCACGGGGACCTTAGGCACGGGGCTCGGCGTCCGGGGTGACTGCAGCCCGCAGGTGAGCTGGGCCGGCCGCCGTGCCTGACTCGCTGTTCTCACTCCCAAACACGGGGTCGCGAGCTAACCTTGCAGGGCTCGGGACTCCGCGTGGGGACCCTGGCCCCGTCCCCCAGCCTGTCGAGTCAAGCTGAACGCCCCGCGACCTCGGGCGAGTCCGTGGCCTCACTGCGCGGCCTGACTGCCACCCCTCCGCGGCCGGCGCTCCAACCCTAAAAATTCCAGCGGTGCACAAGGAAGCTGTAGTGCCGGGCGCCTCTCGGGGTGTGTAACCAAAGCACCGGCGCCGCTCCGGGCAAGCAGTGAGCGCCCCGAACCAGCCAGTGCCTAAACCCACGCAGCCCTGACCCCTGCCCTTAACTAGCATCGTAAAAAGACGAGGGGATCCCCCCGACCGCCCGAGACTGCGGAGCCGACCTTCAAGAAAGTCAGGGTTCCCGTTGTCTACCTCAGTTTCCCTATGATGTCTACAGGTGACCAGAATGAAACAAAGGCCTCGCTCCACACCACTTCCTCAACACACAAGGGGGCGGGGTGGCCCCAACCCGGAGCGCGCGCCTGCGGACAATCGGGCCTGTGATTTGAGGGGCAGGGATGAGTCGGGCAGAAAGGGGTCTCGGTCTCCAAAACAACGTAGACCCGAGGCAGGGCGCCCCGTGGAAGGACCTGCATAGTGGTGGCTGCGCTCGGGGACCAGGGCGAAGTGAGGGCTCCCCCGCGCCCAGGGATGCAGAGTGTCGGGGACCCCCGCCGCGCCCCTTCC